TTGCTCATGATTCACCCTTGCCTCCATTTAGCCACATCATAAACTCCTTCACCATTTGGTCTGATTAGCAGTGTCTACTCAGGGGCAGAGGGTGCACTGGAAGAGCCTGAGGTCTTGCAGGTCAAGATTAAAGTGCTGTGCGTGGCATTAACTGTCAACACTGTAACTAGCTTAAATCAGTGCAATTAGATTGCTCACAGATTACAGGAGCAACCGCTGCAGCTATTCATTCCACATATAGCACGTCTGTGTGCTTAAACCACAGCCTTGACATTAACGTGACATGATTAAAAGAAAGCGTCTGAGGCTCAAATCTATTGGAAGAGCTCAGCAGGCAGGGTTAAATCCACAGCTTCTTTAAAAGCCTTCTGGGGTTGGACACGTCAGGCTGTGGGAAAGCTCTCCAACCTGTTATCAGAGCTGGCTCAGCTTTTAAGTCTGCAATGCCATCTTGTGATCATCCTCAGGAAGTGGAAACTGCAGCGTCCTCTCCATGGACTTTGATGGCTTCTCAAAGGGGCTTGAAACGCACGGCTCTTGTTCAGATGGATCGAAATCCCAGAAGTACCCCAACTTAACAAGTCAAGGGCTAAGAGAAAATCTGTCGCTGACCGAACAGCCCGTCTTCTTGCTATGAGCGAGTGAAAATGATTCATTTCGTAATGATGTCTCTTCCTCACATCGTTATCTGCCTAAGGCAGCAATTTCTTCCAACTTGAAGGATGTGATTCGAGTCTCTCCTTGGATTTGGGGGCCCAATTTTCTTTGTCAGCGTGGAAGAATGCAGTTTCACCTGTGTGATGAGCTGCAGCGGAAGGACCTCGGGTTTAAAATACCATACTCAAGCAGTAAAAGTACTTTTCTTCCCTGATTGAAACGGGAGAGTTCAGCATGATCAACTTCATGGTAAGCAGCCCCAAAAAATCCATGCTGGGCTGCACCCAGAAGGGTGTGGAGGACTAGCACAGGAAACACTGGATTTTGAGGGCTGGGAAAACGAAAGCAAGCACCGGCTGCATCAGCAAATGGGAAACAGCCCGCAGGTTAGCAAGTTTTCTGCTTACCCTTTTTACTGCACTTGAGACACACTAGGAAGGAAGATTCATCTTAGAAACGGCAAGGGTCTGCCAAGAGCAAAAAGCCCAGCCGTAAACCAAGCAGGGCAAGCATGTGGTCCTGCCATGTCACTCACTGGGGGGGAGACAGTTACTCCTTCTCCAGCCTCTGTAGGACGCTAGCTTTGAGCTCCACGTCACCATGGCCAGTCTACTGCCGGCTGCACAGGCTTAGACGGGGGCCAGGCATGGCAATGTAGCTATAACCTCACGCAGGATCCATTTGAAGGCCATCTGGAAAGTTTTTTGCTGCAGGCTTTGGGCTCCAATGAGATATTTCAAACTTATCTCAGAAAAGGCTGGACTGCCTCCCACACGCTCCTTCTCTTAGCTTAGGCGCTCACAGTGTGGGGATGCGACCGGAGCTCTTCAAAGCACACTGATGACGCCTGCTGCAGAGAGGCAGCTGGAGCTGCTCTCTTGCCCTAGGCAATCATCTGCTCCCGTGTCTGCCTTCTTGATACGCTTTTTGGGTTTTATTTCTGTCCAAGGGGGGCAGCTGTTCTTCCTGGATGCAGCAGAACCTGCCATTATGTGTGGAGGGCTCCTCTTCAAAGCAGCCTGTCCTTGCCTTGCTCCAGGCAGCGCTGGGCTTGTTCTGCTCTCCAAGGCTGGGAGACCCTGTTGGCAGCTGAGTGGAAGAAAACGGTAAGTGAGTTCCCATATAATAATGAAGCTAGTGACTTTCATTAACTTTCCCCACTCAGTCCCTCAAATATCCCAGCAAGACAGTGGGCATTACAGAAAACTCAAATCCTCTCCTCCACAGAGCTGCCTCACAGGCCAGCACTGCCTGCGGATGGAGGCAGTGGTTCTCAGTCTTGTCACCTGAGAGGTGCCTCAGCGTGGTTTTCTCACCATAAGATGGCCTGCAGGGCAAAGACAGTGACATGAGGCAGTAGGTGCCCAGAAGAGATCCTCCCAGTACCTGCTGCCAGCAGTGCAGATCACAACTGCCCAAACACAAACCAGCCCAAGATGGTGGGGTCATACTGGAAAGGGGCTATAGGGTGGATGCCAAGGGAGGGGCTCTGGCAACGCAGGACAGCAGTTTCTTGGTTATGCTCCAGTGCTACAGGTCCAGGCTTATTGCCGAGGGTTTTGCAGATGAAAAGCTACTGGTGGAGGCACAGGTAATAGCAAACACAGAGAGCATTTCATGATTTTGTTTCTTGGGGCACAATTGGAACCCACATCTGGCTGGGCAACAGGTCCTCCTGCGTCACTGAGCTGGGCTAGCACCCCTCTTGCCTGGATCCAGGCTTGGGGTTGGAGATGCTGGCTGTTGCCTGTGGCAACACCAAAGCAGTGTCTACAACATTTGCCACCTGGCTGTCCTGACTGCTTGACCGTTCAAGAGCTGGTTTCATGAAGGCCGGGTTTCAAGAGGGCTGGAGCATCTCTCCTATGAAGAAAGACTGCAAGAGCTGGGCCTGTTCAGCCTGGAGAAGAGAAGATTGAGAGGGGATCTCATCAACGTGTACAAGTATCTGAAGGGGGAGTGTCAAGAGAATGAGGCCAGCCTCTTCTCCGTGGTGCCCAGCAACAGGACAAGAGGCAGCGGGCAGAAACTGAACCACAGGAAGTTCCATCTGAACCTGAGAAAGAACTTCTTCCCTGTGAGGGTGACAGAGCATTGGAACAGGTTGCCCAGAGAGGTGGTGGAGTCTCCTTCGCTGGAGATATTCAAAAGCCGTCTGGATGTGATCCTGGGCAATGTGCTCTAGGTGACCCTGCTTGAACAGGGAGGTTGGACTAGATGATCTCCAGAGGTCCCATCCAACCTAAACGATTCTGTGATTCTGTGATTCTGTTTCATCCGCTTACCTGTGCTGTCCTTCTCCCATCTCCCACAGAAGGTTTCAGGCAGGTCTGACATCAGCAAATAGCACATTATTGCTTCCTACTGAGACACCCACTTGGCCTGTGTTCGTCTTAGCTCCAGCTTGATGCAAGCTAAATACATGCTCATTTTCTCCTGCAAGTGCAGTATTGGGGACTGAAGAGCCTGAGATGCTTTGTTTCAAGCCAGGTTAGAGATATAAGCTACCACAAAACAAAACAAAAGCACGACCAGCCTCAGAAGGGCTCCTCTTGCCTAGGCAGAGAACAAAGACAGCTTCCCTAAAGTCCCTACATCCCAGCACAGCTCTGCAGTTTGGGCTCCCACAAACGCAACAGGGTCTGGAAGCCTCTTCCACCCTAGAGCTACAGAACCAGAACAAAGGAGGGATCATATCCGTGAGATTTTGCTCCCATAATTAGCAGGGTGAGCTGAATCAGGGCACGAAGCTCCCTCTACTGACACAGCGCATCCGCTTGAGGCACTTGTACTACCACCAAGCTATAACGCTGCAAAAATATCTATGCAATGGTCGACCTCTAGGGAAAGTCCATCTCCTGCACTGAGTGATGCTGTTGATTACTAGGGCAATATTCATCCTGACAAATCACTTAATAGAATTTAAAGCCAGAAGGGATCGCTAGTTCCCTCGCCCCCATCTCTGTGGTGTCAGGCTCTGCCCACGCTGAGCCAAGTAACGTGTGTGAGATTAAAACATTTCAACCGTCAGGAGGTGAAACACCTGGTGTGGGATGTAGGAGGGGAGAGACCACGGTGTAACCAACGTCTGAAGCTCCTGCAATGGCAAGAGCGGTGCATCGTGCTGCAGGAAGAAAACGTCTGCAGCTATAGCTACGGAA